TTTTTCTGGTTCCTCCTGGTGAGTAGTTAGAGGTTCAGGTGAGTAGATGTTGGACACCTGTGCCTCTGCCAGGATGGTGTTTATTAGCAGCTCCTGTCTCTGGGACTCTTCAGATAACTCTGCCTTAACACTGGAACAAGTACACGTACAACACAAGTTACACATCACATAACACAAGAACAAGTACACAACTAGTTAACACTGGGGCAACAAACACAACAAGTTAGTTACACTAGCTCAGCCAGGATGGTGTTAATCAGTAGTTCCTGTCTCTGGGACTCCTCAGACAACTCTGCCTTAACACTGGAACAAGTATACAACAAACAACTCTGCCTTAACAGTGGGGAAACAAGTACCTACATTGTAGTATTAACACTGATAGAATGCATCAGCATCAGAGTGCAAGTATGTCTAACCCTCGGTTACGGGGAACAGCAGAATGATAAACCAGAGAGAGAGAGCGAGACTATCTTGACCATTGGGGCATGATATCAGATCTGACAACCAGTTTTCTGTACTTTTACTCAAAACAGGTGCACTAAAAAGTTAGGTTAGGTAAATGTTAATGTAGCCCCATAGTCTTTTTTATGGCCATAGGGTCAGTGGGTGTCTGACTTCAGTTGGGGAGGTAAAAGTCGGTGGAAGGAGAGGGATAGGCTCTACCTTCCAATACTGCGCCCTTGACACAGTGGATCACAGTGCAATATGTCATGTTCGGAAAGAATTGGAGCATGTTACACTGAAGACTTACTTGCCGACTGAAGTGGAGATGTTCTTTAAGAAGTCCTCCAGCTGCTGGTTCATGATGTCTTGACCCATCCTGAAGAAACTCACCTGAAGACACACAACAAGAAAACAGCTTTTAGTATGATTCTGAAAATAGTTTCATCAGGTTGGTAACTTATAGGATACAAGGGATTTCTTTTTTACACGACCAAAGGATCATACCTTGCTGACGTTTCAGTGTCTATGTACGTGGCGTTTGAGATTAATTATATTGTGTTCTCGCCGCAAAAGTGCCACCTACATTGGCTACAGATATAGCAGCTAGAAGCAGAACTCCAGTCAGAAGCTCTGAGGAAGGTGTCTGATAGACATCAAAACGTAAGCAAGGTATGATCCTTTGGTTGTGTAAGAAAGAAATCCCTTATATCCTATAGCTTTTAATATATCTCACAAGACATGTAATTGTGGTCTACAACAGCTAAGACTGAAGCCTTATGGTTAAATGTAGTTTAGCGCATGGAGCAATCTGGTTGTATAATGCCTTCAATCTGTGAATCAATTTCAAGAATGCTGCTTGATGCCCCACCAGATATGTAATGTGGTACATGTATTATTCCCTTACCTGTGCCTGTATGTAGCCTACAAAAGGTTCCAACATGGCGCATCTTCTCTTGTATTGCAGGGAGTTCAGGGCTGCGTAGTACTGCATGGCTATCTGCAGGGACATGGTTAGGTTAGCCTCCTGCTTAGACATTTCTAGCGACCTGTGTTTGTTTCTATGAGTGTAGACGTGGTTTCTTTCTGCTGGGAGAGTTGTATTGGGGGGGGGGTGTATTGGTGGATAGCTGAATACATGTAGCCCTCCCCCAATATACAGCTCTCTGAGTGAAAAGAAACCGCCACACTCATAGAAACAAAAGTAGGCCGTTAGAAAAGTCTGCTAAGGAGGCTATATATATATATACATGTAGGTTAGATCAGGTTTGGTATATTTTACTGAAACAAGCAATATCAGTAACTGTTTATGAAATGCCTGTTTGATAATCTGTCATGCAACCCAGTGTATTGTGGTGCTCCCAAGTATGTATCATCTGTATATATAGGGGGCTTTAATCAAGGGATTTTATGTCATGTACTTGACTTGATTCCTATACTGTAAAAGTAACACAGTGTCCAGCATCACCTGATGGAACTTCCTCCTGGCCATGTGCAGCTCATCATTGGCCTCTTGCCTTTCCAGTTTAGCCTGGAAAACAAAAATTCTGACTATCACAAGACAATTAGAGTAAAATTTATGGTAGTCTCAATAGCATATAAAATCATCATGTTACAAACATAGCAGCAATATAAGCATCCCAATTTTATTAGGTTTCCCAAAATATGCTTACCAGGTAATAGGTTTTTGCTAGGGTCATTCATGAAACCAGAATTTTTTTTCCTTAGGCCTTAGCTTAATGATAATATAATTAAGATTGTTCATCTGGTACCTTTTCTGTGTCCCTTTTCTTGGACAGTCTGCTGTATTTGGTGATGGCAGCATCATGTTCTGAAAATAGAAGGAAAACTTGGTGTTGTTTAAACTATATTGAAACAGTTTGGTAGTTCAACATGTCAGCAACATTTCAAACAGTTAGCAGCATGATGGACAAACCATTAGATAACAAAGATGGTTATTACATGTATTTGACAGTAGTCTGAGGAACATAGTAAAATTACCTTCACTTGCTTGTCTAAAGGACTCTCGTAGTGTGATGGCCTCTGTGTCATAGAGAAAGGGCATACAACAACCATATATAAACATATCATATCTACATGTAACATACATGTACATGTCACCTGCAAATCAAGACTTTTTATGATTATTCTATATTCAATCAATATTGAACATTATTGAAATAACAATACATTCATACATGTACTTGTTTCTGAATTGTGTTGGCTAAACTATAAGGAAAATGAGACTGAGTACACAGTTATGATACGTAGATGTTCTAGAGGCATGCATGATTTTTTTGTGTAGCTACATGTACCTGTGACATCATTCTCCATGAACTTATTGAGGGGGAACATAAACTTTTCAATTCTGTATTCAATTGTGTTGACTTTACTATAAGGAAAATGTTTTACAAACAAACATACCTGTGACGTCGTTTTCCATGAACTTATTGAGAGGAAACATGAGCACACATACCTGTGACATAAGCACACATACCTGTGACATGAGCACACATACCTGTGACACGTGCACACATACCTGTGACGTCGTTCTCCATGAACTTGTTGAGAGGAAACATGAGTCCGTCCACCAGCTGAGTGGCCAGGACAGCGTGCCAGGAACTAATCTGTTATTAGACAGGAAAGATTTGGTTGTGGTGCTTTGGCGTTTTATTGGTGACAGGAGTATAAATCCCTCCTGCTATAGAATTGCAACATGATGTAACCCAACATTAGTTACCATGGCGATAGTTATCTCGCCCAGGTCATTGACCTTATGTGTTTGGAGAAGAGGAAACTGAGCAAAAACAATATGTTTTCCTTCGGCAAACATACATATAAATTTGATCTACTCTTCCAGGGTTCTCAATCATACATAACATACACATAATATACATTTGGATAGCTAACATACTGGTACTTTTAGCATCCTCTTGCTTCTTGGCAATTGTATAAATGTAGGAGGCTGTGGGATTAATTTAAGAACAGAATTCAGAATGGGATTATAGAATTCCAACTGTGCAATATGTATGTAGTCAATAGTACTTAGTACTATATGTTACCTCGTCTACAGTCTTGGCAAACTGTTGGATGGTGGAGTTGATGATGGTGTCCTCACCAGCCAGGGGAAACCGCTACAGGAACAACAGATCACAAATATAAGTATAATGATCATGGCTGGAGCTGTACATAATGCTGCAGTATTTTGAGCCATGCTATGGTAAGATAATGAGCATGCAGGATGTAAATTGCTACACTGCCACAGACTCACCAGTTTCTCATAATGCAGTAACTGCTTGGAGAGTTCCTGTGTCGCCGACCCCAAATTGTGCTGAAATAAAAAAAATTCAAGAACCTGTAATGATTATTTGTTTCTTTGTTACTGACATTAGCAGGCTGTTTGGTAGAACCTTGAAACTACAGGTATTATTGAACCGTAATACTGTACATTAATACTATATGGAAACACTACATCTTCATTAGTTTCTTTCCGGCATATCGTGAATCAAAATTGTACTGAAGGGACCTCAACTGTGTGTTGGACAGAGCTCTTCAAGGTTAGGGTTAGGGTTTGGGGATGATACACTATACTGAGCTGTACAGGGTTAGGGTTAGGGGTGATACACTGATATGAGCTGTACATGTAGAGTTAGGGTTAGGGTTGGTAGGGGGACATTACTGTTATCAACTTCTGTGTGTTAACTCACCTGTGTGCTGTACAGGTTAGGGTTAGGTTCTGAGGGGATGTTCTCACCTGTGTGTTGACCAGGTAACATATATAACTATTCTCACCTGTGTATTAACCAGCCTACGACAGGCCGTCAGTAGCTCGGAGCTGTACAGGTTTAAAATGTCCACATCCTGCTCAAACACACCCAGCAGGGAACGCGTCTGGAACAACATAAAAATGTGGTCAAACTTCAAGTCTGCTTCCTTTTGGGAAAGTGAAATGCTTCCCAAGTTCATGATCACTGGCTATCTTGGAATTATGAAAAAAAATTGTGACCAGGAAAAGGTGACTTGTAGAGGTGGTCAGTTGGGTATTATTTTGACTGTGAATAGAAAACCTTGCCATGTCTAAACGTACACACTACATACACAACTGTTATAGGCATTTCAAATATTGACTTACCGGCATCCCTGAAAACTTGCCCTACCACTCCTACATGTATATCTAAGTTATCAGATGTGGGCTGCCAAAACTGAATTCCTTTCCTCCCAGTGTTCTTCAACTAAAGGAAACATGTGTCCCATACAATGCTACATGCCCAGTAACACTTTTAATACTTTAACCTTTCGCACACTGAAGTAGCTGTCTGGCTATCAATTCTCTGTTGAATATGGGCCAAGCAGCATGGAGAGGGTTAATCCTGCCTGTGTGTCCCACAGACCTACAATCCCCCTGCTGGTAACACAGTTAAGATGTAGTCATTGGGCCGGTGCCAAATATGGGCATCCTGCTCACACCCAGAGCAATGATGTCATTCACAGGAGGGGTTACTAGAGGTTAGACATGTGACGGTCGGTTTAACTTTAAGAGTTGTACTTGTAGGGATGTCTGTCATATTCCTGTGTAAGTTTTTAAATTAATGCTAAATAAATGATAAGGCGTTGGGCTGGCAATATTGTTGATGTATGTTGTAGATGTGTTGCCTCAATCTCCCTGTTCTTGCCTCCTTGGGTCAGCCCCTAAATCTTTACACAAACACACCCACCATTTACTGCCATTTAGGGACCATTTAGGACAATTTTGGGAAAATGTTTTGACCCAAATCATCAAGACATACCCGTGCCTGTGCTATACTGTTTGAGTGCCAGTCTTGTCACTCAAACAGTAACAATATTAGAACAATCTACCTTTATCTACTTGTAATGTTACATCAGCCTTACTTAAGTTGAGGTGCAATGATTTACAGGCAAATGTGTTCCATCAATCGGTTACGAAAACAGTGAATGTGTCATGTGTAGGATTACCTTGAAGATACCTTGAAGATTCCTAGGTGACCAAAGGTGATAAACGTTCCTGCCAATGTACTTTAACTTAAAGCAAATTTCTGAACCTCACAGGTCATTTCATTTTGTCTTTTTCTCTAAGACTGTGATAATTCTATATGTCAATAATTTTGTCAGGTTCACTGTAGTAACTGCACACTCGCACTCTGCTATTTCTTTCAGGGCGGTTTACAGCATGTGGATCACAACACTCTACAAAACCCCAGTTTATAACATAAAGATACCTTAAGAATATCAACCCAACTTTAAGAATACCTACCTCAGTGTTCTCTGTTTTCAAGTTCAAGTTTATTTATTTCACCAGGGCATACCTCAGATCAGTTGATCTGATTTTCAGGTATCCCTGGGCACACATTAAAAATTACATACACAAGTTCAACGCAACAATATACAACAAATATTACAAACATTTACATATTATACAAAACAATCACAGTATACAATATAGGCACATTTCATCTGCGGTCATCTACAGTCCGTTTTTAAAAGCTGACGTTGCTATCAGTTGCCGCTGGTCAGCAGCAAGACAGTTCCACAGGACTGGCCCTTGGTACTGCAGGCTGCCCTTGAAAGATTCCACATGTGCTTTGGGAGTGTCCAGCATGTGAGGGTCGAAGCTGTAGAGCTGTTTCGTAGCAGTGCGAGTACGAACTCTCAGCACTGGGGGTGACAGCCATTTGAACATATGTGTCATGTAGGCAGGTGCCTTGTGGCGAACTGCCTTGTGTACAGTTACTAATGTGTTCAGTTTCACCCTTTCAGCCAGGGGTACCATACCAGCCTCTGCAAGCAGGGTTTCTGTAGGTACACGATCTTTGAGTGATCGCCCAGTAATAATCCTGGCTGCCCGATTTAACAGTCTAGTCAATTGTTGTGATCTTACTTTGTTACAATGAAAAAGTGACAGTAACCATGTAGTATCACAATAATCCAGGTGAGTATATAACAAGGTTCGACACATGACTAGCAGGATCTCCTTAGTAACATAAGGTTTAGCCCGGCTTAAGGCATTAAGGCCAGCAAGGAGCTTCTTAACAATTCTTTCTGTATGTGCTGACCAGTTTAGAGAGGAGTCCATGGTGACACCTAGGTAAGTATACACATTTACCTGCTCAAATGAGTTAGACCCATCAGTTACAGTGACAGTGTTTCCTGCGTGACGCAGTTTCTGAGGTGATCCAAATACCATGGATTTAGTTTTGTCAGGGTGAAGTGATAATCTATTTACAATAAACCAGTTAGCTACCAGTTTCATATCCTCTGACACAGTTTCCTCACATTCCTTTGACAGCCTAGCCGAGTAATAAAGCACAGTGTCGTCGGCGTACATATGGATTTTACACTTACGCACAACTTGTGGTAGATCGTTCACATATAAGCTGAATAACAAAGGACCTAAAACACTCCCTTGCGGGACACCACAAGTGACACGTTTTCGCGTAGACTGCTGGTTCTGAATGTCTACGTGCTGGAAACGGTCTGTGAGGTATGACCTGAACCAGTTTGTCGCGCCGTTGTCGAAACCCATCTTCTGAAGTTTTCCAAGGAGGATTTGGTGGTTGACCGTGTCAAACGCTTTCCTTAGGTCAAGGAACAGCGCGACAGTTACCTTCTTGTTGTTTTGAGCTGACTGGATGTCCTCCACCACCTTTTGCACTGCTGTATCTGTGCTGTGGTGTTTACGGAAACCACTTTGGTGGGCCGTGAGCTGGCCAGTACTATTCACAAAGTGGGAGACCTGGTTGTGAACCATTTTCTCCATCACTTTGGAGGCCACATTTAGGACCGAGACAGGACGGTAGTTGGAAACGCTGTCTCTGTTCCCTGATTTGTGTATGGGCGATATTTTAGCCAGTTTCCAGTCATCGGGAACTTCCCCTGATGCTATAGACAGGTTAAAGATGTGCGCTAACGGTTTGACAATAATGGGCGCAGAGTCCTTAAGAAGCCTAGACGGAATCTTGTCAACACCTGTGGCTTTCTTTGGCTTAAGCCTAAGAAGCTCGTTTAGGACCTCTGTTTCTTCAACTGGCCGTAGACGGAAAGTTGATGTTGACTCAGGTACATGACGGAGGGGGTCCTCCTCGGACACTGGAATATCCCTTGCCAAGTCTGCTGCACATGACGAGAAGTAGTCGTTAAACTCTTCAGCCATTTCGGCAGGTTCAGATGTACAACTCTCGTCAGATCGTCAAATTTTCTGGACTTGACATTTACTTTTTGTTTTTCCTGTGAAGCTGTTGATTATTTTCCACATAAGACTGGGATCTTCTGCAGCGTCGGTGATGGCACTTTCAAAATGAGTTTTCTTTGCCTTCTTGATCATTGATGTAGTTTGATTCCTGAGAGACCGGTAGCATTCCCAGTCCTTCATGTCCTTTGTCTTTATAGCTTTGCGTCTTGCTGCATCACGTTGGCCCATGAGGTTCTTTACTCTATCCGTCAGCCATGGCGCAGGACGGCCTTTCTCTTTTCACTTGTTTCCTGGTGATCGGTGCATGTGCTTCAGCTACACTTAAGGAAATGTCCTTGAAGGCTGACCATGCTTCCGAAACATGTGTACAATCTAGCACCGTTTCCCAGCGGACCGCTTTCAAACTGTCAATGAATGACTGTTGACTGTAGTTTTTGTAGTTTCTGTATTCACGTGATCGAACACCACCTACCTCTACCCCGGCTTTGGCACACGTCATGATGAGATTGTGGTCGGAGGAACCCCAGGCCACACTCAGACTCGACCTGTGCCGGTCCGGATTAGAGACAAATATGTTGTCGATGCACGTGGCGGAGACCTCTGTTATACGTGTAGGCTGCGATATGAGAGGGACCAGTTGATACAGCCTCATAAGGAATTCCAGGGATGTTGATGAATGTGTTGATTTATTCAAGTCCACATTGAAATCCCCCATGATCATCACATCGGCATTTTCTTTTTCAGCTGTTACACTGAGATCATGCACGAATGATTCAGCTGCATTTTTCCAAGAACATCCAGAGCTAGGAGGGCGGTAAATGCACGCCAGCAGTGTCTTTCGTGCCTTCTCAGGTTTAACCTCCACACAGCACACTTCCAGGTCGACATGTTCCAGGTCTGGACGACGCTCTGAGGGAATGGTCCGTTTAACATAGACACCTGTCCCTCCCCCGTGTCTGTCTCTGTCTCTCCTGTGTAAGGTATATCCACTGACTTCCAGTATAGAGCTGGGGATATTTTCTGACAGTCTTGTTTCATTAAGTCCTAACACATGTACCCTTGATCCCCCCAGAAGTAAGTGCTGTATTTCCTCGAGATGTCGCGTGAGAGAAACCACATTGTAAAACGCGTAGACTACTCCCTTTTTCCAGGTGTGCAGTCCCCCTGTATCAGGGCCGGGGTTTCTCTCCACATCCCCACATATGGCAAGTGTGCAAATCAGGGGACAGTCTTTGAGTCCGTAGTTTTGCCCTGTATACACTTTGTTTCCAGTTGTTTGGATTGGACAAGAAGGCCATATCTGTTTGCGTGTCGTGATCACTTCGTCCGCAATTGAGTGTCTAGATCTTATGGCATTTCCATCATTGCATACAAGTAATATCAACAAAACCCAAACTGACCATCTGTTTACACTACTACTTGACATGATATTGTAATGTACAGACATGTTCCTAACCTGGTACTGTATGCACTATTGTTTTACACCCTCTTCTATCTCTGGGTATTTTCTTCTTGTCCCAGTGTTTATCCTGTCTTGTTTTGAAGCAGTTTACATTGTCAGCATTTACTACACTACTACACTGCCTGTACAGATCTCACAGCGAATGACTGTCACCTCACTGTCGACTTTGCTAAGATGTTTAAAGATGATGATGATGATCTTAATTGCTCGACAGTTGTACAGGGTAGTAGGGTACAATATAATGTACATGGAAAGAATGATGTTCCTTACAATAATACTAGTCTAATCCTTGGGACGTCCACCAGTGTATTAGTCATTTTGTACATCATGCATAGTCTGGACATTGCTGTCTGTCACAATTCTTTCTCTCCTTTATAAAGATGAAGAGAAGACTTCAGAAGACTTGCTGTTGGTCACGCCCCCCTCCCACCCCGAATTCCCGGACCCTCTAACACAGCTATCTCACCAAACCCCGACACTCAGGCCCGCCCTACCTGCGGAGCGTCTTCTAAAGCTTCTTCCAGCAGAAGTTTGTCCACGCCAGGCATGTTGGAAGACTTTTACAAGGAGAAAATCGCGAGACCAGAAATATTTTTACTCTGTACCGCCTCCGGTCGGCCCAGTCTTATGTTATGCGCAGTAAACCGGCGCAGTAGTCCGCTCTCGTTCTCAGGGTCGTGCGTCCTCACTCTGGGACAGAGAATCACACCTTTGAGGACTTTGCTTCAAGATTGCTCATAAAATTCCTCGTAATAAAGAATCCTGTATTTTATGCTTCCTCTTTTCCTTTCTTACCGGCAAAGGTCTGAAAAGTCTATAAGTGACATAACGTAAAACTAATCTCCAAGCAGATCATACGGTGGCAAGGCAGTATATCCATTGGCCAGAGGAGTGTCCATTAGCCACCGAAGGCATTGGGTGGCCAATGGATACTGTCTGGCTAATAGATACTACTTGGCCAATTTGATAGGCAATTCAGTAGGCAATGCTAACTTACATTGAGTTAGTGTCCACCAGACTCCTTTTGCACGGCAAAATGGAGATCGGCGGCCAACTCCTCTGGCCAATGATATCTCTTTATAGGCCGATTTCTACTATTTATTCACCCTGCAAAAGGAGTCTAGTGGATACTACATATGAGTCATATTTTCAAGCTATTGTTTACGAGTAAATTAAAAGGAAAGAAAGCACTTGAAACGTCCATATTTTTTTTATCTTCACCATCAGAACTCACAACGCGGTACCGTCATTCTTGTATTATCATCATATCATCGGCCTTCTTCTGTCACAGTAGACGCTCGTATATAAAAGTATTATATATAAAATCGATGTTAAATCTGCAGAAACGTTTGCACCTAAAAGATAACGATAATAATATGAATTGCTTTACTGTTGCTGTCATAGAATTGCTACGTCCAGGAATACACATATTATGTTTGTGATATTACACAAATGAATACAGGTAATATTGCATACGAGTGACACAAACCACGTTCCACAATATACTAGTACAGTTTTCTTCGCAGTGGAGTTGGAAAATAATAATAGCAAGTCTGTCCCTAAAAGTCAGGGCATGCAGTCATGATGAAATGAAATATATTATCTCCATAGTGTGAGTCTTTGGTACAAAAACAGCCACTTTCATTTTATGTTTATGCAACACTTTATATCATCTTTATGTTTACTTTTGTATTATGTTTTATGAGCAGCGGATTTACATAAGCACAACAAGTGCTTCCTATCCAATGCTCAAAAATCCATGTGAATAAAATAAAGATAAAAATAAAATAAAAAACCTCCTTAGTAATATTTCCACAGAAGTGTTTGAAACGTAAAGTGGATGCTCTTAGTCTTTGCTTTCGACGGAATATCGTTTTATTGCAATGAGTGCTTCAGGAGCCCGTATCTTGGATATTAGTAGATAAGTACCCTGATTCACCAGGAACCAGGTCTGTCATCAACGTCATACAGATGTAAAAATATAAAGCTCTTTTCTGCGCATTTACACTACATCAGAAATATCAATGACCTCCTTTCTATTACTTAACATAACAAATAACACTCCGATGATAACAAGGAAAATATTTGATAGGCGTCAGCTTTTTACTTGAGTACGCTTTAAGATTATTAGTCTCTACCAGGCACCGCGGATCGCTAAAAAAGTAGAAATTGGCCACAATAAAGGGAATAGCTAGTATACCAGGGGAGTTAGCCGGCCAGAGAGGGTACATGTTCGGGTGCGGCAACATGTACTCTCTGGCGGACCAACTTCTCTAGCATGTTATTTATCTATTTGGCCAGTTTCTACGCTTTCCAGTCGCCTCTCGAAGTCTGTAAGAGGCTACTCCTCCAGCTGGTTCCTGCTGGCTAGCCGAGCCTGGCTGCGGTTGTGTTGCTGTTTACGTCTGCGCCTCCTGTCACGGTCACGGTCACGGCGGCGGCCGTTCTTCCCACGGTGCCGGGACCCGGGCGGGCGCCGGACGCGCTGCAGTACCAACTCACTCCGCTGGGCGTCCTCGTAGGGCGCCGACACCTGCACGGACACGGGGGCAGAATCGGTACAGTAACGTAACCTGTTGTATATCGTATATGGAACCGTGCTTTTGTCCAGAACCATGCTTATGAACGGTTTTGGATGCTTTACGTGTATCCAGAACCATGCTTTATTAAAAAGCCATACTCATGCACGAAACAGAAATAACCACACCGCACTATCTAAACCAACTGAAAGACAGACAGCCTGACGGACTGAAAGACAGACAAACAGACAAACAAACCCCCCACCTGGAAGAACATGATTCCTCCCGGCACGTCCTTCAGAACGACAGTCACGTTGGTCCAGTTCTCCCCTACCGGCTGGTTCAAAAAGTGCAGGTGAGTTAGCGTAGGAGAACTCGGAAATGTTGAATGAAAAACATTGTTACTCAGATCCGAAGTGACAATATGTAAAACAGTTTAAAAACAAAAGAACTCATTTCGAACATCACATACATCGTCGTCGCACAATTTGATGACACAGAATGTTCACATAGGCTGTAAGAGAACGTTAACCAACCATATCGACAATGATGACAGCATTTCTGTACGAAGGCAGGTGGCTTTTGCACACCTACATGACTGGCCCAAGAATGCCCAATTTGTGATCGGACTTCGTATGTTCCCGAGGCCTTGTGCGGTTACACAAATATGTCACGATGTTGAATCAGATGTTATACCACACAACAGAGGACACATGCCCAGTCCTTACCCGTGGGACGGCCTGCCTTTCCAGACTTGACGGGTCCTTGCCGTGGAACAGGTAGAACCCGCCGCTGTAGTCGTACTGCTGCCGCGGCTCCGGCCGGGGGAACGTCACCCGAACCCGCGTCTCCTGCCGCCTCCGCTTGCTGCTCTTGCCGCCCGGGTGGCTGGCATGGCCATGGAACCCGCTACTAGACCGGCCTTTGCTGGACCGACCTTTCGAACGGCCCCCAGAACGGCCACGGCCTACCCTCACGTTAACGGTCTTTATTTTGACTTGAATATCCTGTTTTCTTGGGATCCAGTCTATAGTAAAAGATAAGCGTAAAATATTTTCATTTATTGGCAATGATACTTGCAATAATGTTGCCATTACCAGTGGGTCGGCGTAGGCAGACTCAGTAAGACGAAGCACGATGCAACGCGGCTTCACTACTGCTCTCGTGTTCAGCCAAACACTTTGGGTCAGAAGCTTGCAAATTGTAAACAATTTCGTCAGTCGTAAGTTTGTAACCTCTGCGACTAACCTGTAACTTCGATCATCTTTTCTTTGACAGGAAAAGCTTCTGGAAACGGAGAGGATACCTGTAGAATGGAACGGAAAAATGTGCAATGTGCTCTCTGTTGACCAGGTAAGCAAATGCATCATGTTTACCTTCACATTATTTAGCCTAGCAAACTACTGCTCTGTTTATTCTTACTTAAATACACATATGGTGACCAGCCCCTTCAACTCTGTCCTGCCATGCCACTTGCTACATAATGTACCCCCAAATACCACATGGTGTCTGCTACAGCACCTATTACAATGCCATAGTAACAGCCGTCTGCGACGACAAATAGACCAAGAATGACACGCATACCTTGGCGACATATATGTCTGGCTTCATGTTCGCGAAGACAACCAAAACGTTTGCCTCCAAGACGACCTACAAAATATATAACGTTATTATTAAATATCAAATGACAGATTTACAATTAAATTTAGAATAAGACAGACTTGCTTCGAGAGATTCTAGAAATCGTCAAAATATCAAATGAAAACAAAATGACCAAACATGGTTTGGGTACGGTGCCTGAGCATGATTCTGGATAAAGTACGGTTCTGGATAAAGTATGGTTCTGGATAAAGCACGGTTCTGGATACAAGTATAGTAGAGTACTTACTCTCCGTGTCCATGACCGTTCAGGGTAGGATTTCCTGGTGAGAGTGACGTCACATGTAGACAGGTTGTACTTCCGGGTCGGGCCTTCAAACTCAACCGTCACGTTCCGAGCGGTCTGGTGTACAATGACGTCATCAGGGACCCAGTCTGGAATGGACATTGTATAATATTTTTGATGTTATGAATGAATTGTATAATGTTTCGAAGCTTGGAGTACCGTAAAATGCAGTAGTTTCATTTTTTTTTTGTTTAGGAGGCAGCAAATTCATCATTTCATGTATCAGGTGACAGATATCTTCATGACAATAGTTAACCTGCAGTCTAACCCACTACCCATAGCAGGCTGGAGGTTATTATTATAATTAAGACGTTCTGCTGTATCAAACATGTGTCATAGGATGCAGGTATATCTTACCTGTCGTGTTATAATGAATGAAGAAAGACCTTTATTGTACGCATATACCCACTGGGTACAGGTCACAGCAGAAGAATAGTTATAGGATGCAGGTATATCTTATCTGTCGTGTTAACGTTATGGGATACTAAGTATATCTTACCTGTCGTGTTACAGGATATATCTTACCTGTCACAGTAAAATGTACCGGGTAACTCCTGAAGGGATCTCTGGCATCCACACTGTACTGTATCAACAGAACCGGGGGTACATGATTATCAAATTTGCACAATAAGACTTAGTTTGAAGGTTAGTCGAAGAAATCATATCTCCCCAAACAAAATACAAACAGAGATTCCTTTTCGTGACGTCAATTTGGACTTTCTGTACACAGGACGTAAGATGTTAAGGACGAGATGTTCTCACCTGTAAGGTGTACTGCCCAGGTGGAATGTCGTGGAAGGTGTGTTGGAAGTATTTCTTACTGCTCTCCTTAAGGGACTGAGGAAAAGACAAGAAAGCAATTTCAGATTCAACATCATTACCGCAACCTCGTCATCCAATCACAACTAAAAAAGGTTTGGCAAAATAAGCCTCACACATAATGAATGGGTCAAAATTGCACCACCAAACTTTGCATTGGTGATAAAGATAAGAGTATACTATTAGATACAATTGTTTATATCTGTGCACCTCACACCTCGACATCGTGCCCAAATGCAATTCGGCCAAAGTAGAACCCTCTGAGTGAATGAATTCAATCTACTGCATTATAAGAATTGCTGAAGCCCTTACCAGGTGTTTCTGTGTCATACTAATGATGTTCCGGTGGGTCTTCCCAGGTACAGACTTCCAAACCGTGCCCAAAAGCAAGTCGGCTAAACTAGAACCCTCTGGGTGAATGAATCCACTCTACTATATAAAAGCGTATAGATGTCCTTACCAGGTGTTTCTGTGTCACACCGATGATGTCCGGATACGGCTCGCTTCCCGTGGGTCTCCCCAGGTACAGACTGTAGGACCGGATGTTGAACTGGCGGGCTGTCCTGGCCCTGATGACGACACTCCGGCCCACTGACGTCACCACAGGCTGGGGCGGGTGCCACCGGGACGGACTGGGTCTGGTCTTACACCCCGGTATGCTCTCACAGGCTGGAATATAGCAAACACGGCACCAGTAAGTTGTATCTAGAACCCTGCTTTATTCAGAACCATGCTTTATTCAGAACCATGCTTTCTGGCTCAGGCATAGTCCACGTGTATCCACAACCGTGTCTGGGGCAGATCTATGTTCTTGGATACGCAGAGACTATCCAGAACCGTGCCTTGTCCTAACCCTAACCCTTTCAGTTATAGAACTAAATAGACACGGTTGGAAAGTTGAGTCCTGCTACATCAGTTTTTCATCCTGCTACATCAGACTTGCTTCTTGATCGTGAAAGGTTAGACTAGAACTCACAACGTAAAGATCAGCTTGAATAATCTCCAAGCAGGTCATACGGTTGCAAGGCAGTATCCATTGGCCAGAGGAGTGGCCGTGGGAAAATGGACACCCTTTTGGTCAATAGATACTGCATTACGACAGTAGAATCTGCTTGGGGATTACAATGAGAATCTTTCTACTGACTCACAATTCAAAAGTTCAGATTGAGAATAAACTCCCAGCAGATCATACATGTACGGTATCAAGGCAGTATCCATTGTCCCATTGGTTTCGGTGGCTACTGGACATGCCTTTGGCCAATAGATACTGCATTGCCACAGTAGGATCTGCTTAACTTGAAGATTGCTTGAGGATTGTTCTGAAGGACTCACGCCTTGTCCTGTACTTATGGATGAGCACGCTGTCGTCATCCCCGTGACTGGGCCGGCGGGAGGGGAGAGACCGGACGGTGATGCCGTAACTGGTGTCCGGGCTCAGGCCGCGCACCACGTGGCTAAACTGCCCCTGTGGGAGATATCCGTACGTCAAATCATGGTCATATCAATTAGTAAAACGTAGGTACATAGCTGCCCCAATGTCTGACTAAGCTAGGGAAGAGAGAGAGTGAGAGAGTCCCACAGCACTACGGTGATGCCGTAACTGGTGTCCGGGCTCAGGCTCCGCACCACGTGGCTAAACTGCCTCTGTAGGAAACAGTCATGTGTCAGCTAAAGGGTAAAGTTAGTCCCATAGGCTTGCTTGGGCCGTATAGGTGGTGGAAAGAGAGGATTGAGACCGGACGATGATGCCGTAACTGGTGTCCGGGCTGAGGCCGCGCACCACATGGCTGAACTGCCTCTGTGGGAAACAGTCATGTGTCAGCTAAAGGGTAAAGTTAGTCCGGCTCCCGTAGCCTTGCTGGGGCCGTAAGGGCAGTGGGTTGTTAATCCACTGTGTCTAGGGTAGTAGAAAAGTAGTAGAAATTGGCCAGATAGACTAGTATTCCAGAGGAGGTAGGAGGTACAAAATTGGTACCTGGTACTCTGAGGCTATGGAATTGCTCAACCTGAGAAGACTGCAAGAGGCTAGACTCTGGTAGAGGCTAGAGCCAGGTAGAGGCTACTCCTGCCCCACCATATCCATAACAGGAACCAAACACAGCGCATAGCAACCAGTCCGAGAATAACTCCAACAAAGGACGGCAGAACAGGAATCTCCTTAGGGGCAGTTTTTATGCGTGTATTGGCTTTCTGGATTCCTGAAGGTCCGCTTCCTGTTCCTCTGTGTTCAATAACTGCCCCCCTGGCGAAAACAACATTTGTTGTTGTCTTAGGTAGCTGTTCTGCTTCGAGTCCACCCATCCGTGATTTTAACGTCACATTGCTGACATTTGCTTCATTGTCCAAGCGTGGGGTCGAATTGCCAAGAGTCAAGTCCAGAGTATTCGATCCCTGACATTCGTCACTAAACGTCACATGTCTTGTCTCACTCCATCCAGGTGTAAAATGGGTACCTGACTTCGGTTGGGGAGGTAAAAGGCAGTGGGAGGGTGGGCTCTGCCTTCCAATACCGTGCCAGAATCTCTCTACTGTATAGGTGATTTTGACTTAGCAAACCCTTGACTAAGTTCCCATACCTTTTATGGTCAAGAACTTAACCGCACCAAGTTAATCATTTTACATGTCGTAGATAAGCTGCGTACGTAGTGATGTGTTTATTGTAGAATTGGCAAACATACTATATGCATGTTGTGTAGACTGTAGACATTGATAACGTAAACAACCTTTAGTATTCACATTTCTTATCACACAAGTGGTTAATGACTTCTCTGTTCGTATGTCAACTGCAAGGTTGTGTATGTGGTTAAGCTTTATGTGCAATTTCTTGAAGTCCACTGAACTTTTGCGGATCAGCCAATCAGTCAAATAAGAGAGGAGGTACCATATAACAGAAGGGAATGTACGCGTCTATCTTCTATCAATGGATTCAAATAGCAAATTTAAGTACATATTGATATGCGACAACCCACCCATTGCACATATAGGGCAATGTCGGAAAAATGCATCAATGACAGAAATTGTACCATTGAAATGATTGCAAAAGCCCATTCTAAATGGAAAAGGTTGCACCTGGTAAAATGTTGTACAGTAAAGAAAAACTTTGCCCCTTTTCCCACTACGATAGAATTGTCTGCATTGAGCCAAATAAATACATTTTGATCAGAATCGAAGCCATATCAAAGCAAATTCATTCATTTCCTAGTGGGAAAAGGGCCAAAGTTTTTTTTTTTTTTGTTATCTCAGCCGGTGTGAAATCTGTATCTGTATCTATATAACCGGTATAACCACCCTAAGGCGATAGTTCTAGGAAAGAATGAGTTTTTGAACACCTCAATCCTTGGTTGATAACTCTGGTACTTAAAGGCCACCCATTTTAGAAATGATGCCCACCCACCTGGTTATCCTCGTGTTTGAGAGTGATGTTGAAGCCCAGGATGACCTGATGACAGATTGAGGAGGAGGCTGAACTCATCTCCACAACATGGACCGTGAAGCCCTTCAGACATCGGATGGCTGAAGAACAGATAACAGGTACAGGTTAAATACTTGAACATGTATCATGCTTCACCTCAGTTGAGGATGGGAAAAGAGCAGAGAAAGAAAACTACATGTACAGCTACGATGTGCTTGTCATCAGAAACGTTATATAGGAAATATCATGATCAACCTCCAGAACCGTGAAGCCTTTCAGACATCTGATGGCCGAAGAACAGAACAGAAAACTTGCAGTATAGTGACCACCTATCCACATAGACCAGATTTTATCAGTCCCCGGAATGGTCTTCTTGGGCAGAACTGAAATTTTCACTGTTCTAACTAGAGTGATCCTGTAGCTGTCAGCAGAAGTGTGGTAGCCTAAATATTCAGTTTGCTAACCTCATATGTGTGTCTGTGTGTGTGTGTGTGTGTGTGTGTGTGTGTGTGAGAGAGAGAGAGAGAAGGTGAGTGTGTGTGCCGTACCGTCTCCACTCGGCTGCCAGGTGATGTTGACGGCGTCCCTCCCGCCCGAGCTGCCGGCTGCCGGGGTGACCTGCAGGTTCCTCGGGCCGGGAACAGACTCGTACTCAGGCAACATGTCAAACGGCCATGCCGTGCAGTCTGGAAAATCCCAATACCATTGGTCATCAGGTGTGGAATAGTCTCTTTATATGGAGTTGTTGTATTCCAAACCGTTTTTTTTATTCAAGGCCATGTTCAGACATGGTTCTGGATAGTCCACGCGTATCCAGAACCATGCCTGGGGCAAATCTCCTTTCTTGGATACACCTATGCCGAGACTATCCAGAATCGTACCTGATCCTAACCCTAATTTACACATAGGACTAAATAGGATAGCCACGGCTCTGGATAGCATAATTACCATGGTCAGCCACAACCATGGTCACCAGACCAGAAACAGGTTTGGACTGTAATTTCAAACACAAGTCTTGAGTTGGAAAAACTGTTACAGAATGATGCCTACCAACACAGGTGATTTTTAAACCATGGTCATCAGATGTAAACAGTTCGTTCTAGGTATAGAGAGTATCAAGTCACATATGAACAGCTGCCTACCGTCATAACATGTTTAGACCGTATCAAATAGATTACATGTTTATAACTCTGAAACAGCTCTCCTAACGAAAGACAGGAACGTTATGCCCATTTATACCTCTAATATTGATATGGTCGAAAGGAAGAATGTGATCATAATAGCAATATGGCAATGATGACTTATTCCAAAACTCGTCCACTAACGGATGTTAGATCAGGTTTATCTAAGTTCTAACATTATCAATTTATCATTATCTTGCAAAGGCACAGTTCAAGAAACTGGATAAGTAGAATATAAGACTCTGAAGTTGTCTCACCTCCTGAGGAAGGGTAGCCGAGACACACATCCGTACAGTTTCCTGCTAGTCCCAGCCCACAGATTCTGTCAGCATCAGGCTGGGGTATAGTACAGAAATTTAGTAAAAAGTACAGGTTATACAGGTATATTGGCATGGGATTAGTCCTGGCCTGTGCATATAGGCAGGCTGGCAGTCTAATTGAGAATTATTACTATGGTAAAGGCAAGGCAGTCATTCTCAACTGAGATAAAGCATGATGCTTTTTTTTAAGTAGCTACCACTGCAATGCAGCTTTCCTACAGCTCGCATTCATAGCCAACCACACCGGGTCACCCCTACTCTTCTCCACTGGGTTCTTTTTTGTGCAAAGGTTTGCCGCTTGAGGCTTTAGCCTGACGCGCCCTCATACACCGAGCCACAAGCTTTGCTAATCTCCAAGCAGATTCGGTGGGGCAAGGGGACTTGATGTTGACCGCCTGTAACCGTCGTCCGCTGCACGTGGCCAACATCAAGTCTTGGAATCTGCTTGGACATTAGGCTTTATGTCCGCATTTGAAATGACAACTATGTTGTGAGCAAACAGAGAGTAAAACCGGTGAAGATCATAGATCATGTAATTTGTCCTGCAGCATGTAATACTGGCTATGTGTTCGTCCTTGATTTTTTTTCTGGGCCATGGATAAGGTGGTGCCTTTTGAAATCTTGCAAGAAATACCAACAGCTATACAGAGGCGTTTAATCATTCATTTTAGGTGAGACACTAGTAGCTTGATCTCCAAGCAGATGTTTCGGTGGTCGCAAAAGACAGTATCAAATTGGCCAGACATTATCCATTCGCCAGACAGTATCCAAGTGGCCAATAGATACTGCGTGTCCAATTTGCGGCCACCAGATGATCTGCTTGGAGATTAAGCTACTAGCGTCTCAGCTAGTGTAATATTGGAAGATTACTACTAGCTATGCATTGCTTGTCGTATTTCTTTCTAAAAACAGCTAGTAGGTCTTCCTTCCTTCATCCGTCACAACACCATGTCTTAACAACATTATCGTTATGGTTCTATATACGAACCACTTCCAGGTATTTTAGACCCAGTTCTCGGAATATTTCAGCTGTCAGGGGAAGTGACACTATCAGTTCTCGATGGAGCTAGTTTAAAAATAAACCTCGTGCAAGAGGAATTGATAGTCGCGTTTCCTGCCGAAGTGCTACTGTGGCTGATATAAACTCACCCGTGAGCAGGTCGCCTGGCAGAATTCCTGGCGGGAATCATGGCGGGAATCCCGGGCCTGGACCCAGGCAGGGTACTGAACGAGCAGCAGTAGAACCAACATCTTGCGGTGTACAGGACGGGGAATACCACTGGCTTCTTTTTATACTCAGTTCGGTTCCGCAAAAAAAACCTAAAATTTTTTGCGGGGCAATCCCGAGAAGGCGTTACGTCAGTTCCTCAGTTCCTTTTCGACGTAAAAAAAAGAAAAGGATTTGGAGAATTTCGGACGCGCTATCTCCTCTGTATAGCTTAAAGTGCATCGTCACTCTTGTCAATGGCATGGTTTCTATCATTATGTAACATACCGTTTCCGTGCCAGCATGTGAGAGTGTGAGATCATATTTTGTTAAAATCACGAGTCCAGATGTTAAACTTCATCTTATTGTTGGTTTGCAAACGTCGAATTTGAAATGGGAGGGTGTGTCCTGCGTACGCCTCCCGGATTATACATAAAATTATATGATTCATTGGTAAGTAGAAACTGTGTGTGGGTGGTACATTGAACTACCAGATGGTGGTTGGTTTGCTGGAGTATCATGTGTGCTTGCCGGCTGGCTCGCCTTATGAACATATGATTCATCTGAAACTACGTAGAAACTGTGGGTGGGTGGTCGTGCCAACAAGAAAGATAAAATTTGATATATAAACTATTGATATTGAACTACAGGTTGGCCAACGAAAAGGGGTATCGACAAACGGTCTGACAGTCATGTGCCACACAGCTCTGTAAACCTGCGGTAAGTGGAACCCACTAATTAACTATACACAGAACCGTGTCTTTATTGGTATACAGCGGGTTGCCATGCTATGATCTTTAAGCTTTATGTGCTCAATATTTTTTGTTCCCACCCGTCATTTGGATGTATATGATTAAGACAATTTACCTAAGGAGGAAGTCAATTTCCGAGGAAACCTTCCCCTTAGTGATAAGACTACCTGTTAACTGTTCTTTATTTCAGCTTAAAAACGACGTACGTGCGAAACCACACACTCCTTCGTGACTGTTCAAGAATGCTTTTTTTTTTAACTGTTAATTCTGTGAAGAAATTTAGCAGTGACCTCGTCAAATATTGCTGATCGAGAAAAAACCTCATCAACCTATTAGTAACAGATATTCTGGGAAATCTGTTTATTTGTGGCAGCGTTGTACTATATATGGTACTAGTAAACCTTGAAGGCTGGATCATTCTGGTACAGGTAGCTAGAAAATAGGGAAAGAACAAGAAGCATGCATGTGAAACAGCTATAATCAGTGCAAAACTACAAAGATGTATTATACATTGTTTCCTCTTGTTTATAAGGCCACATTATCTTTATCATATGGATGACATCCACGCGCATCAATTTTTGTCCATTTCCGAAAAAGGTTTGCGACCATCCTACTTCTTTAGGCAGATTCAAGCATGACAAAGGTCGACAGGAAAAGGGGAAGATGCAAGAGAAAGAGGCGCAAGGCTCGAATTACCCATTGCTTGCACCACCAAGTCTTCCAAAGTCAAAGAAGGTTTGAGAGAACAAAATCAAAGGCATTTATTAATTTCGTCATCTTCCTGACCACTTAGAATCTATAATGAAGGCAACTTTTTTGCCCAATTCTTTTTTCGCACGATCCCATCAGTTTTGGTGTGCCCAGGGGATGTCATCCATATATCCACATCAGTACGGCCTAACCTTGTTGCCGTGTTGGGCTATTCCTGGGATTTCCCCAAATATAGCTTAATGCAGGAAAGGTTCCTCTACGTTACGCTTAATTAGCGGTACACAAAGAAGTGACATCTTATTATCTCTAAAGGAGGTACTACGGTTTAAGTGACAGGCGGAACTTCTTCATTTTGTGGTTCAACGTCCGTCAGGACGGATGGTCCTCAGCCGTACGGTCTTTCACCTGTAGGGCGTCTTCTACTGGCTGTATTCGGTACCGAGCGTTTTTCATCGGCATCTAATGTATCCAGAATTGTGCCTATTTAGTTAGTTCTATGACTGAATGGATTAGGGTTAGGATCAGGCACAGCTCTGGATAGTATCCAAGAACGTACATAATCATTTGCCCCAGGCACGGTTTTGGATACGCGTGGAGTATTCGGAACCGTGCCTGTCTAGTTCTATGCCTGATTGAGTTAATGTTAGAATCAGGCATGATTCTGGATAGTCTCCGCGCATCCAATAACCTAGATTTGCCTGAGGCATACTTCTGGATACGCATGGTTCTGGAAACGATCATCGTACATGAGCATGCTGCTGCTCGTATAAAGCACGGTTCTGGTCATGGATACGACAGCCTCCCACTGCCTCAGTAGACGATGGGTTTGGTCCATTCTGTATTTCCAACAAGAAATCAGCCCCATTGAACTCCACATGTTCTTACATACTGCACTATTATCAAGGGCTATTATTATCAAGGACTATTATCAAATACCTGACGTTGGTCCGTAAAATTTGACATTTATTGATGACTGATCAATATATGATATGTGAAATCTGAGTAATAGAGAACTTCCCAATAAAGCTTTCTCAGTAGCCCTGCCTTTGTGTAACTTAATGAGGCCTACTCAGTATCCCTACCTATGTTTAACTTACTGCCGCTGAGGTTTCTCAGTAGCCCCTCCTGTGTTTATCCCAGTGTGAAACGAGTAGTAGATACGTGGTAGCGACAGTACGTACTGTTACGACTTCTCAGAAGAGGGGGAGTCATGGGGGGGGGGGATATTACAATGTTGACGCCCTTCCGGTCACGAACTTGTTGATACCTGATATGCGATACTAGGCGAACTAGAAAGGTAAAATATGCAAAGCAAATGTGTAGTGTATACTTTAATATCATCTAACCCAACAAACAACTGCTCTCGAATTTTAGAAACGGTCAGACGTTTCAGGTAGCATCCACTACCTTTCGTCAGTGACACTGGAGAGTTGTCAGAAAAGCAGGTTTATATTATTGATTGATATTCAAATAAGTGAAGACAAGTTCGTACTTATAAACCTGCCTTTCTGAGAACTCTTCAGTGTCACTTCAACGATGCCTTTACTCTCTCCCCTTAAATACAAAATTTAAAAAATCTTAATCTTTTCATGGGCGTATTCATCTCGACTTATATCTACAGACAGAAAAATTACACGTTCATATTTTTTTCATAATTTTTTATTGCACATTTCGGCAAAGGCAGTGAAACTACAGTGTACTACTGGCCACACATAGCAAGGAAGGCAATGGCTTGATTCCGATTATACATATAGCAATTCAAGATTATATATACAGCAATTCAACCGTAATTCACATAACACTGACAGATTCCATATCACATATGGTTAACAATGATTCTTTGGCTCTGAAATATCACGGTAATGCTCATTTAAGCCGAAGACATGGGGAAGGTGATGGAGGACAGAGACTACTGGGCAGCCATTGTGGTTCGGGTGGCAGAGGAAGAGTGGCACCCGACTTAAGTCAAGTAAGTCAAGTCAAGTAAAGTACAACAATCCATTGACCATCAGATAGTAAAGAAACACGTAAAAACACCTCTGTATTGTTTAATGACGAGTACGTCAACACAAATAAAAGTGAATTTATACCAAATTTGAACAGTAACAAAGCAAATGTCATGATATCGGCTCGGACAGTTTGACAAGAATCTTCTCAAATATATCAGCATCATCATGGCTTTGCTCAAAAATGTTTAACAAACATACTGCTAGGTTTGAAAACCTCATTCAACACTATAATACAACCGTTACATGGAGCTAATGCATAGTATTTGAAGCTTGCGCTAAGGACTACCTTACCGACTTTATATTCCCCATGTCAAATATTTAGCTCCCTCAAGGCTGGTTTATCTATAGTATTTATTGCCCGTCATTTTCCCTGCCCATATACCTGAGTTGTGAGACTGTTTAATAGAGACAACATGTCCTCAATGTTAACGTTATTAGAGGTAGGAGATGGTGACTGGGGCGGTATTTCGGCCGGAGGGAGAGGCACGGCCCGAGGGTAACCGGGAGGCAACATGACCGAGGGACCTGCCGAGGGCGCGCGGGAGCCGGCCGGGGGATATGCTGAGCCCCACCGGGGCCCGGCCGATGGATGTGGGGAGCCCGGACGGGCTTCGGCCGGAGACAGTGGGTGGTAGTTAGCAGACATGGTCAGGGGCAAGTTTGAACCCGTGGCGATGGACGAGGAAGCTTCTATCTTGCTGTCTGCTTGGAGGGACGGACACAGCCCGGCTGTATTGTGCTCCCCTGCTTCCAAATGTAATCTCCCATGTGCTCTGTCTGCATGTGACGTGCGTGTCTGCCCGGGCTGTGCCATTGCGTCCGGGAGGGGGCGTCTCTGGGAGCTTGGGCTATGGCCTGCATACGGGTAGTGTCTGAACTGATGGGGAGGGAATTTGGGTCGGACTACCTGTTCACTGTTATTCGGGGAGGAATGGTACCCCGTGTCGTGAGTTTGGGAGGCGGGGTACTTTAACCCTTGGCAGGCTAAGCCCTCCCTGTGGGCTGTCATATCAAACTCCATGTTCTATTCTTGTGGAATCTGGTCTGGCGTTTTGTATGTTGTTTGACCAACGTTTCTACCATTACAGTTCTTCCCGGTGATAGCTCCAAGATCGTCAGCTTCAGAAGAGTGCATGACGCCCATCTCAAAATTCTCTACATAGCCTCTACCACTGTGTGCAGGACCCATGCTGACTACATGATGGGCACCTGCCTGTGGTCTAGTCGTTGGAGCGTCAGCTATTGGCCCTCCCTCTCCTTTCATGGATATCCTAGTCACACCTTCAGCACCCTGAGCATGTAGGACACTTACTTCAGTTGAACCAGTACTGTACATGTAGGCAGTGTTTAACCTACACAGATGGTCATATTCACCATTAGACCCTCCCTCCCCATCCATGGCTATACTTGTCACACCCTCAGCACCCTGTGCTCCTAGGACGCTGGCTTCAGCTGAACAGGCATTGGCGCTGTACATGTAGGCAGTTGGTAACGTGGAAATATGGTCATATTCACCATTAACATCATTGTTAACCGGGAGCCCAAAACCTTCATCAGGAATTTCTCCCTCCC